TTAGACTTAATTATCAAATGGCCACGTCCTCTTGGTTTTAAAGAATCTAAACTTCAAATGGTCTGATAGTTATAAGTTATAACTGCCTTTGTTTAGTACCTGCAAAAGATATTAGAGATGCAAAATACATTACAGTCATACATGTTTAGTACTTCAAAACTCTAAATATTTGAATTGGAAAGTTCATTTGAGTTGCAAGTACTAATTGAGGACAAAAATTAACTAAAAAAATAAGATATAATAGATGTCCAATGTCTATGATGGTAGCATGGTTTCATATTTTTACTTGTGTTAGCTTGGACGGACTTTACTTTTAAGTTTAATTTATAACCGATAAATTCATTAAAACCATGGTGTAGACATAATCCTATTTTGTCTTCATAATTATAAAGTCAAAATCACAATTAAGAAATACTTGTGTGGTATATAATTTTCCTAGTAGATTGTATGATCCTATTTTCAATAGTCAACATTCACAATCACTTTAAAATTTGGGAAGCCTTCCTATAAGAGGCATCTGATATAGGTTCTAAAGATGATAAGGCTCAATCTATGTATGGGGCTTCCTACTCCATAAAAATGAAATCTCTGCTCCTGGTAGATACGTCAGAAACTTGATCCCATATATGTTGGAATCACGATTCTAAACTGCTAGATATCTCTGTTCCACATAAGTTAGATACTCGATTCCACATATCAATGAATCTTGACTCCTCGAGTATCGATTCTAGTGCGATGGGAATCTTGATTCCAAGGAGGCGGGAATTTCGATTCCAGTTGTGGATGAATCTTGGATCTATTTCAGTTGATACACGATTCCAAGAAATTAGGAATCTCGTTCCCAACGATTCCCATTGTGTGGACTTCGATTCCTAAAACATAATCTTCGAAGCGGTCGCGGTTTCGCGATTCCGGTTCCTGAAACGATTCGGGTTCCCAGGTGTTGCCAACAACTATGGCCCATACTATATTGATACTAACATCATGTTTCTCCCATGTATTACCATGATCAAATATCTTATAACTATTTTCCATGTAAAATAGCTTTTTTTCATGGTTTTGATATCTCTCATATAAAATAAGTTCGTGTACCATAGCCATTGTCATGTTTAAGAGTTACATGATATTCATTCAAACTAGTGTTTAAAAAATCGTCGTTCTGACTTGGAAGGGGGAGTTCCAGTTTCTTTATGGAAACAAGAATCACTTCTGTTTATCATGAAGTGCTTGGTTCATTGTACAAAACCAACTATTTTGCTTGAAAACCAAGAATCACCCGATACTTGAAGAATTAGGTGATTTCCCATATGAATTTGAAAACCCCCAATTTCACCTGTTCTTCTTTTCAAAAAACATATTCCAGTTCATTATCATCCTCATCAAACTTTATCCTCACTATTTGGGGTTGGCTATATGAATCCTATGCCGCCATTGCTCTCCATCAAGGTTGTTCTCAGTTAGACCATAAGCCACCATACCTCTTATCGCTACTTCCATCTATGTCCTTTGGGGCCTTCCTTTTTCCCTTTTAGAGCTTTCCACTTGGACAAAATCATCCTTCCTAATCGATGCTATCCTAGGTTGAAGCTGCACATGGGCAACCTACCTAAGTCTAGTTTCCCTCATCTTATTGCATATTGGAGCTTCCCTTAAGTTCTCTCAGTTGAAATTAAAGTAAAGAAAAAAACAATTTGGTAGGATCTAGAGAGAGAGTCAGAAAAGAAAATAGAGATGAGAAGAAGATGAAGGGAGAGATAGAGATAGATGTGAGAGATAGAGAGAAAGTGAGTGGCCCTCTTATAACATTAAGTAATAACCCTAATTACAACTTAGAGACAATATGGCCCTTATTTAGATAAATGACAGTTCTGTCCATCAAATACAGTACAACTTATTCTTTTTATTTCCAACACTTCACCTCACGCTGGGGCATAGATATCAATCATGCCCAGCTTGCTTGTGATATCATGTAATCTGTCCTATCCATTGGCTTTGGTGAAAATATCTACAAGTTGATCTATATTCACATGAGTAGTTTGAATGATCTTGGCATCACTTCAATATGTTTAGTCCCTTCATGAAAAACATGATTTTTTGCAATATGAAACACTGCTTCATTGTCACAATATAGAGTTATGGGAAGCTTAACTCTAACATTCAAATAAAAAAGAACACTTTTGATCCACATTACTTCTTTCTCTTGCTTGAGATAGATTCTGAATCTAGAATCTTTTATTTTGTTACATTACAGTGAAAAAAGTTGGGAAGAAGTTGTCAGTAATAGATTACCAGCTTGGTTGTTAAGGACATCTTGTTGATGATTGGTTCTTCTTGCTGCACCCGCCATTGTTATACAAAATCTTTCTCAAATATGTACTACATGGTTGTTGGATTTGATCTTCATTTTTCATCTTTAGCTGCCTCTTCCTCATGTTAGGATTGTAGTGTATGTAGACTGGCTTGTGCAACATTGAATTCCGACTTGTTCCTCCTTGATGTATGGATCCTTTGGAATGTATTCCATTTTCTCTCACAAGCCATGGTGGCTCAAGTTTGGCTGAGGATCATGATTGGTGATACGCTATAAGCTGGAGTTTCTATCTCTCACCATCTCACTGAGAGTACAGTCACAGTCACATAGAATAGTCGCACTACAATACTCTATGATTTAGGAGTTACGACTGAGGAATTTTGGATCTGGGTGTGTGCTACTTCTTGTCACGTATTGTACCCAAATTCGCCTTTTGCATCTATATAGAAAGCAAGATAAAAGAGCTAAGCATGCATTTCAATGCACAAACTATTACAAGCTTAATTTGGCCTTTAATTTAGGCAACCTTATCTTGATTTATTCTTCTAATTCAGTACTTCAACATCTCATGCTGTGCTTACTGTGGCTCCACTGATAATGATATGCTAGGAGAAAGAAAAAACTTGAATGCATTCATATGAATGGCTAGGGTCAAATATGCCAAAACCCCAAGGAACATAAATCACAAACTAATATATAAATATAAATTGGAACTTGAAATTGAAAGCTATTTGTTGCATGGGCAATAGTGTAATGTGTAAGCCAACGTCTCATCAATGATCTTCCTTATTTTGTTGTGAAATTGCAATTAGCTTGTTTTGCATGGTGTAATTCTTCATACAAAAATCGTGCTTCATGTTTGAATGAACCAACTTCGGCACTACTACAGGTGGTGCTGTGTTGGCCACAATATGCTTACACTTATCCAAAACTTAGGCTCTTTAGTGAGTCCTTTTAACTTCTCTTGCAAGTTGACTCCTTGAGATGCGCAAAAGCTTATTCCTAGATTTAATCATTTTCTTCAATCTCAATTGCAACTTCAGGTGTGATCCTATAGCCAAGTGCGAGTCGCAAATCTTAGTTGTTTTGGGGGTATTTTTGCATCAGAGCACCTAACACCAGTTCCGTCAGCTACGGAACACAGAACTAGATCATATATATTACAGCCTGTACTGGAAAACAGGTCTAAATCCTAGGGGAGGGCGTTTTGGCCTCGTCCTATCCAGCAAACCCTTAAAAGTTTAGATAGATGATGGTTCTCAACTCAGGACGGGCCATTGATTGCAAAGATGCACGGTTGTCCTCTTCTATAGGAATCTAGTACCATTTACACCATAATACTACCAGAAAATACATAAGACGGTGGAAAGGTCCCTAAGTCAGACACATATCAGGACCAAACTTGGGGGATCTTGATTGTTAGAAGACCTTCCCCAATTTGTAATTTTTTTGTTTTCTCGAAATTGATATGTTCAATGTATAGATCAGTCAAAGATGACTGTTCAAATAAACTTTGGGCCCTATATGATGAGAGGAATGTTTCTATGTGACCCCAACAACATATAAGTTATATGGGACCCTACTTCTCAGCCGTTCGATCTGAATCGAATGGGTATGATTGTTCATACTCCAATGTCATACAAAGCACTGTTTTTATTTTTCATTTTTTTCTACAAAATATTTTTGGATGAAAGTTTGGGCGTCCCATCATAAAATTAGGGTGAATCTGGGAAAATAAAAAATAAATATTTTCTATAAAAATAAATGACCAAAATGCCCCTGAAATTTTCAGGGGTATTTTGGCGATTGTTAATCACCGAAAATATTTTATGATTATTTTTATGATGTGTGCCCCTATCAGATCTATGCATGCCCCAAATTTTGCTTTAAAATTATTTATATAATAAAAATTAAAAATAAAAACTCCGAGCAATCCGATCAAGATCTGACGGTTAAAAGTCAATTTTTGACATTGTGACTCAAGCCATCTTAGCCATCTACTTAGATTTGATGGCTGAGAATAGGGTTCACATATATTATATATGTGGGTGGGGTCTCATAGAAAGCCTTCCCATATGATGAAGGGTTGAGGAGAAATGAGGAAGAATGTGCTTTGGGCATCTTACCCCCTTATATTTTTGGAAAACAATGGCAATATGTCTGAAGCTCATAGAGTCACAGCTCATTCGAGTTACTATATGCTGAGTAGGCATGTAATGCCCCCTTCCTGGCTGGGTGCAGGTGTCTCGGCTGAGTTCCAAGTGGTCTTGCCAGGTTTGCTAACACTGGACTCTGTTGTCCATAACCACCATGAACTAGAAATGGATTCAGTCTGATTGTGCATTGATTTTGCTATGCAAGCCATGAACACTGGCCTCATGGTGAAGTAATGGAATAAGTATTGAATAACTATGGACTCATTCTATCACAAACTTTTTTCCCATGAAAAGCTATATAGAAATGATTTGAAAGATTCATGCTCTAAATTTCTGCTTTCTGCTATCACGGTACTCAGCTCGTTATCCTTAAATAGAATGTGATAGTGTCCCTCCATAACTAATTAAGTGAGACTATAATTTTGTCAAGATATTTCATATAAACTAAAATGATATTCATTTTCTCTAAATGCTATATTTTTCAACCCATTTTTTTTTGAGATAAATCAAATTATTTCGTTTTGTTTGGGTAGGTTAATATTGGAATTCGGCCGGTGGCAGTTGTGCTGTGGTCTCCAAATACCCTGGTGACTGAGCCCAGGTCTTGAATCACAAATTACTGGTACAGTAAGCCACTCTTTCCTCTATGATGCTTATGTCTATGCATATCCATATCGATTCTTATGCATTTATTCATGTCATGCTTGTGTATGCAAATCACTATTATTATATCTCGATGTTAATATACATTTGATCTCGAAGCACACAATTTAAGCTTGCATGTATATTATAATACCATATTCAGTGGTGTCCCTTCAATAGAAGAGAAGCATGTATTTTATGACATGTAAATTCATTATTTTACACCTAGAAAAGGCAAAGTATTATGCAAGTGGAGAAGTCAAGGTCAGGACTATATGCATCCCTATTTTGGTTATATGACAAAAATTATTGTACCTGTCAAGTTCTTAAAAGCTATAACTTGGTGGCTGACTTTGTCCTTGTCAAAACTGAGTTGACAAGCTGAGCGAAACAGTTGACTCAGTAATACTCCAATGAGTTTTTCAAAATTTTTAAATAGTTAATAAGAAACATAGTGTGTCCATAGTAGGATTTAAACTTTACTTGTTCCCAACTCAAACCACATTCCTACCACTCTGGAGATGAGCATTATGTCTCAAACTGATACCAGATTATATATGACCCAGAATTCAGGCACATCCCAAGTTTTTAAATTTAGTAAAACTTGGCCATTGGATGTGGGGAGTTGACCCAGCTACTTGGATAGTATATTTGATTCATTGATTCTTGTAAAAAGATTAGTGTTGACTTCCAGTTACTTTTGTTGATAGTGGTCCCCAGCCACACTAGTATAGCTATAGATTTTCTCTCTTTTTTTTCTTAATAATTTTTTTAGCATTATTATGGCTATAAGTTGGAATATAAGTATTTTTAGTTATAAAAAAGAGGGTGCTAGTGTTCTCCAAATTTGGGGGGTAGTTTTTTCAAACATGGATTATAATAGACTTCAGAAAATTTTGGACAATTTTTTTTTTTTTGTAATAATAGGATTTACATACTTTTTGTGGTCTTGACTCTTGACCAGCTTTAGTTATACATACACAGACGGCATACAATGCTCGAAGATGCTATTTGTATACCATTTGTTGTATCTACCATCCATGGCAAGGCTGTGGACAAAATATCTCCTTGTCTTAAGTGGACAGCGATGGAAGAACATAACTCCACCAAAGTGGTGGAGATGTAAATGCAATATACAATCGAATATGTTTGTGCAAACCCTAAATTGTACTTCCTGGGTATTGCCCCCCACCCACCACCAAAAAAAACTTTTGATTCTACATTATTCACCCCAACGCTATTTACTTTTGCACCCAACCATCCCAAAATAAAAAAGTTGATTTTTTTTTTTATCAAAATACCCTCAATTTTAACACATGTTTCACGTCCAACATGTGCCGGTCCCACATAAAAATGTGTCAGACTGGCTTCTTATCTTCAAAATGTGCCTGTTTGATATAAAATGTGCCGAAAGTAAAATGTTTTTTGGGGGGTTGGTATTTATAATTTTTCATTTATTTAAAGTAGTATTCCTGGACTAAATTGATCCTAGACCATTATTGCACAATATCCATTAAAGATTCTTTGATCTAGCCTCCAAAAAAATATATTAAATAAGAGACTTTGAGCATCGTTGATGAAAGTTTCGATGGTTGATCTCTTCAAAAGCTTGATACGTTCCAACAAATGTACAAGCCTGAATTTGATTTCGAATGAATCGCATATCAAGTAATTTGCTAGCAGTTTGAGGGAGAAATCAATTGTTTGGTTGATGGGTTATCTGCGGATCAAGAAACAAGTGTTTTTTCTCCTAGCTTTTGCAGTTTAGAGATTGTCTTATGCGAGCATGCATAACTCCATGGAGATATTCCTAAATTTTTGGAGAAAATTTTTAAATCATCGTTCTTGTCTCAAGGGAGTACCTGTTTTTCACGTCCATCCTTAGGATCGATGCATTAGGGAACATCAATGTAATAATTTAGAACTATGTCCCTTGAAGCACATATCACTTTTCCTTTATCAATGCCGTTAATTATCTTTCTTAAGTTATGCAAATAAAGAATAATTTTTTAATTTATTTTATTTATATTTTCTAGGACTTAGAAAATATTTTTATTTAGAGTTTTATTTTTTTTGAGGTTATTCTTGTAGTTTATTAGTTGTAGAGATTTAAAAGGTAGATGGATATGGATATGAATTAGTATGATTGGGTTGGTTAGGATATATTAGACTTTTTTTTTAAGAGATAAGGGAGAGATTGAGTTAGTTTTCTATTTTTATTTGTTATTTATTTATAATTTTTTAATTTGTATTTAAATGAAAGAGGTCCTTTCTTTGTAGAGTAGTGATTGGAGAATAAAGAAAGAGTTGATTTTGTGAAAAGATCGTGGAATGGACTTCTTTTCAAGACTAGAGAGGGTATAATCTGTCAAATTTTATTTTATTTTATTTTTATATTTCTGATTTATTATTTTTTCTTGCATCACTACAAAACAATAAATAGCCCGACGCTTGAGTTTCCTAATATCATTTTATGTAGAAATTTTATTTTTTTAAAATAAAAATGATTCATGTCAGTGTTGAGTAACGGACTAGAAAAATGAATTCCCTATTCCAGGTAAAAATAAAAACTCCTCTATTTTTTCTGGAAATTTAGGCAACTTGTTTTTGTTAAGAAAAATAGATGCCCATGTTAATGAGATTGGGTAACAATGGCTAGGAAAGGAAAGAAGATTTGGATATGGGATTGGTACATGTATTTAGGACATCCCAATAACTTCTCTAAACTTTTAGAATGGATAACTCCCCTCCCACTGAGATGGCCGGGCCGTCCTTCTCTTTAAGTTAGTTTTGAGGAAGGGTTATGTCTTAAAAACAACTCATGTAGGTTTTTGATTATAACTTATTGTCTTTTCAAATAAATGAATGAATTCGATGCTCTTTAAATTTGTAATAGACTAGACCAAACTGATTTTAGGAAGGTATTGGTCATGACCCGATTGCCCCTCTAAAACCACCCTCTTCTATTTCATTTCCCTTTTTCTTTTCTTTTTTATTTAAGCTTGTCTTGTATTTTCTTAAATCCCTGTAATCCCCACCCCATGAACCCCTATTTTGACTTTTACTTTATTTTCTTTCTTTTCTATTGGCCCGATCCAATTGAGATCCGACATGGATATATAGGGTGGACAATCCAGTTTTCAAACGCTGGATTTGGATGTTATTAGCAAAGCTTGGTAAGTTTTTTTTTTTTTTCTTTTCCATATGCCCTATTTTGATTTTTGATTTTTTGTTTCCTTTAAAGTTTCCCTAACTTTAAATTAGTGTTATGTACTTATTTTAAATTTATTTTGATTTTTTGGCAATTTTTTATTTATTTGACTTTTTGTTTTTATATTTTTATTTAAAAAATTTCTAGGATTTTTTGGCCCTATACAATTTTCTATACAGTAGTTGGGCGAATCTAGTTGGACTTGCCTGAGTAATTCACCTTGGGCCCATTGGGCCAGGCCAAGTACTTGGCCTAAGGCTGGTTTTAAAACATTGGTATAAATTATAATTTATGCAAATATGGAGTTAAGGAGATGAAAAATGAATTTATTTGATTTAATAAGGGCCTTATATTCCGGAATCAATTCAGGACTTCTACGATGATGTAGGGTTCTTGTGTAGGTGATGTGGGTTCCAGAACCAATTGGTTGGTGGGATAATGACATTCAAAATAATAATTGTTCCCGATTTGTGAGGATTTTCAATTTTAATTTTTACGCAATGTAAAATAAATCTAATCCCTTATACCCAAATTTCTCATGGGTTCTTTAGGATATTAAAGATGTATTGAAATACTCTCTCCTAGAGTCCATAGGATTGTAAAGTCTATAATAAGGGGGGTTTGGCGTCAAAATTTTTCCCATCTTTTGTGAAAGATTTGGCTGTCATATGAAGTTCTAGAATTGCTAAGCTTGGCTCTGGCATGATCTTATTTATTTATTTTTTCTAGCACTAGTTCGTTGTTGAATTGTGCGAGACAAAGTAAAATTTTTCCAATTCTTTTATTTTCAGATATAATTTTTTGACTCAGTGTAAAATAGTTCTTATATTTTTAAATAATTTTTTGACTTATTTGAAATTTGAAATAATAAAGTAGAATAGGAATATAAGAATCTCCTATATGTATTATTTTTTTCCCTATATTTTCCGTTCTCTGTAAAAAGGAGCATTTAACAAAATTAAAGAGTTTAAACAATGAATAATATTGTTGCTGTACAAAATTTCATGGGCAGTGACTGTTGGGGATTAAGTTTGGGTCGTTGCGTCCACATGCTGCTGTGGAAAGCCAAAAGGTGCACAAGCACCTTTAAATGGTTTGTACATTAATTTAATTTTTTATTTTTACTTTTAATTTAAAAATTACGTTTATTTGAAATTTGGATTTTACCTTCATTTTTATAAGGAGAATAAACTAAAAATAATTAAAGATATTTTAAAAAATATCGATCAAAATAGATATTTATATTTGAATTATTTTTATTAAGTTATCTTTATATTGAACTTACATTAAAATAAGCAACAAAAATACAATATGAAATTAATTTTCGTCTATTCAATATGGCCTTGTGAAATCTCATACTTTTCCTTTAGGTTTCTTGAATTATGTTTAAAAAGATATGATAATTTAAATATTGCTTTAGTTTTTCGTATAGGGTAAATTTTAGGGTTTTGCTGATCTTTCCCTTTGTTTATTACTTTTGAAAACTGAAGTTTCTTAATTGATAAGCATTCTATTGATCTCCATGGTTTTGAAGAGTAATAATAGTAAGTTTGCTTGCTTTTTTATTGCAATTGATTTTAGCGGAGGATGGGATAAGTTTAGGCTTAAGTTGCTCCCAACTCGCATGAGTATATTATTCGCAAATGGTCAAAGAGGTAGGTTCATTGGAATTTGAATTGAACCTTTTGTAAATTGAATGGGGACATGGGCTTTTGAGTTCTGTATCCTTTAGATGCTGAAACATAGGCCTTATTATCAGGATCTACCAAGAATTTCTTTCCTAACTAATTGATGCTGAAACATAGGCCTTATTATCAGGATCTACCAAGAATTTCTTTCCTAACTAATTATAGAAATGTTATTATTAGTATCAGAATCAATTACATATCTTTATCTCTCATTTATCAGGGAAACACTAGTTGAACGCTACACCCTCTTATCATTCAATCATGGTCAATCATGTGCTGCTGAAGTTGTTACCTGAAAATTCAAAGAGAGTAGCCATGGCCAAAAGAGTAGAGGAGACATTAGATGAAAATGCAAAGAGCGTAATGGCAGAGAGGAAGAGATTGGCTGAGGTTCCTTCCCTTGAAATCCCTATTCTTGAAGAACTGTCGTGGCACAAAAAGAAGAGGTCAGTATTGAAAGGAGCAAATAAGATGTTGGATGAGGTTCCTACCCCCGAATTTCTCATTCATGAAGGTCTTTCATACCCAAAAAGGAAGAAATCGGTATCCAAAGGTGGAAGGAAGAGAGAGTTTCTTATTTGTGAACAGGAGATCACATGAAGTTTCAGGGACCGAGCAAGACCTTCATATATGTGATGATATTATGGAACGAATTTTATTGGGACTCCCTGTAAAAGCCCTTGGCAGGTTCAGATGTGTTTCTAAGCGACGGAATGAAGTCCTCTCCTCTCTCTCTCCTTTGCATGAACCCATTATCTCGCACCTCCCTCAGCATCCACTCCCTTTGCTCTTGTTGTTGCCAAACCAAATTCTACACCCTGTCTATGCTATACCCTCTCTCTCTCTCTTACCTTCTAAACTCAACCGAAACCCTCCCATCATTTGAGTTCCAGTCGTCCAGTCTGGCGTGCAGCAATGGTATGCTATGTGATTACAAGTTCCCCTTTGGCTTTGACATTTTTAACCCTATCACCCTTGATTCTATGGGCATGGAGAAGACTTTCGAGTTCAAGAGCAATTTCATCTTTGGATTCTATTACAACCCTGTGAGCACCGCTTTTTATATATTGAAATACACTCTTTTGGTCCCTATACTTATCAAACATTGGAATGTGGACCCTATACACATCAAACACTGGAAAGTTCCTGGCCGCCCTCAACACCCTCTCACTCCCTTCTACAGCATTCTCACGTGCGTGCTCGGAAAATTCTACAATGTGTTCTGTGCGGAAGAATATGGAGGGTAGAGCATCGAGGTTTTCGACACAGCAAGAGAGGAGTGGGAGGAAAGCCTTCCATTGCCCACAGGAATCCCACGCCCGGATAACTCCGATTTTGGGTTTAGATTCCTTGAATGGGAGGGGCAGATATGTTTTGTTCATGGCTGGTTTCATGAGGGAGATAGAAAAGAATGCGGAATGGGAATATGGGCTTTGACGTGAAAGGAGAAAAGATGGGAGAACGTGAGAGAAATGGGCCTTGGGAAAAAGTTGAAAAGTTTTTACAAGGTTTTGTGGATCTCAAAACGCCGATGATAATTCACGGCGAGTTTCTCTTTATTTGCCAGCAAGGGACCATCTTTTCATTCGAATTGCAGAGCGGACAGAAAAGTGAATTGACGTTGAACACCAAAAAGTATGGGTATTCACACAGGCTGCTTCTTTACAAACCCTCACTCCTTAACGTCAACACACCGCCTCTAATGTGCTAGCAACATTTCTTCTCCCTTCCCTCCGAGGGATCCATCTCTAATTGACAAATTTATTGTTAGCCGTCTGTGCTTTGTTTCTTCTAATTTTATATTTATTCTAGAGGGATCCATATAAAGTTATTGGTATGGGTTTTGCTTTCTGTTTTCTCATTTTCTTTTATTTGTTTGTCCTTTAGAGGGGTCTGATTCCAGTTGATTTTTTGATGAAGCTGTTTGTATGGTTATGTATTTCCTTATTATTTTCTTTCATTTAAGAGAGAGAGAGAGAGAGAGAGAGAGAGAGAGAGAGAGAGCTCCAAGGAAGTGATGTCTCCTTTTAATGGGTCCATTCCCCAGTTTTTGATAAATCATAATGTTAATTCATGTATCCGTTATCTCTAGTACTAATATGGTAGTATTTGGGCCCTGTCCTTTATATTCACTTTGTTTCCTTAAAGCTCTCGTACAAAAATTTGAGTTCAACCTGGTCTGGTCGGCTACTAAATTTTTAACGAGTTTAAAAATTAAAACTATAAATGATTTCAATGCCTAGATCCAGACTCTCTCAAATAACGAGGCATACTCATTTTGGATGATCTTTTGTGCTCAACAGTTTCTTTTTCTCCCTCTTCACATGAGCATGCGTTGGAATATTTCTTTTGTCTAATTATTAATGTTAGCGTTATTATTATTACCCATTTTCAACTTTCATATCTCCATTGATTGATTCAAGGTTGCAAAACCTTTCTTACTACATAAAATTTCACTTTATTATATCTTTTAACATATTTTATTTATTTTTTACTAATTTTTTTGATCCAAACAAATTTAAAAAAAACATTGTTTTTTTAAACTTCTCTCTTGACCTGATTCCCTTTCTCTCTCTCCCGATTACTTTCCATTTTATTACCAAAAAGTTGTATACAGCCATTAAAACACAACGAAAGACACCTCACCTAACCAGAAAATATACACAAATCAACACCCTCCTCACTTTCTCTCTCTCTCTCTAACACGTCTCTCTACTCAACCCCATATTTTTTCTTGAGAACCCCCACAAACTCGAGGACCTTCTCAGGGTCCTGCAAAGCCTTTGAAACGCCCTCTTTCTCCATGCAACACTTGGCCCAAGCATCAACTTTGGGGCGGTCAGCTACAGCACTGAACCCACCATGGACCTCATAGGCATGGAACCAACAAACAAAAGGCACCACGGCAACGCCCACGAACCCTAATTTTTCCCCTCCAAAAAAGGGCTTGTCACCCAAGGCGCCCTCCAAGATCTTCAGGTTTCAATGAATTCTTTCACCGCCGAGGCCTGAGCCTTGCCCTTGTTTTTCTTTCTCTAAAAAAACTTCTCTCTAAAATCCCACTGCTAGCTCTCTCTCTCTCTCTAAAAAGGATCTGTGATGATTCGAACCTCCCAAATCCCTCTCTCTATCTACCACTACCTCCAAAACGTCCTCCAGCGCCACTGCCAGCCCTCCGCCACCACCAGTGCCCTCGCTGAGAGAATGTGGGGTTTTGAGTGTGATGAGTCTAGAGCGAGAAAATGTGAGGAGAGAGATTGAAAACATGAGGAGAGAGAGAAAAAAAGGTGTCTTTTTTAATTTGTTTGGATTAAAATTTGGAATAAAAAAAGATCTAAGTTGTTTGGGGGTTAGAAGTTAGGTTTTGAAATTTCGAGTTTAGGAAGAAATGAAAGTTGAAATTAGAGTCTATAGAGATATTTTCTCTTAATGTTAAAATAAGTATTAATGGTCAAACAATTTCCAATTGCGCTCTTATATTAGAAATTGTGGGAGGGTCTCATAGGATCATTACTCTAATGAAAAATATTAAAAAAATACATTACAAACACAATCCCTTATTTTTTGGGATTTTATATAATTTTTTTTATTTTTTTAATACCTGGCCAGTCACACCGGAACCGACCATTAGCCAATTCTGAGCAAACCAGGTGGTTACGGATTAGACCACCTGATTTTACCTTCAATGAACCCAGGGGGAAGGGGCAATATTGGTATTCTGATGAACTAGTTATTTTTTTGGGGAAGTTATTATTCTAATAAACTAGCTGCAGAGGTACTTAACTGAAATGCTATGTAGAACATAACACTTCATTGGAAAATTAGTTGATTGAAACACCTCATTGGATTTTTGAAGTAGATTGTCTATTTTATTGATATTGTCAATTCAATAATTTGTCAAATGGCCTCTCAAGACCGAATTCTTCGTCACATGGTTAATTTAGCTACGTTGTCATTTGTAGATGCGATAGTTTATGAAATGCAATCATTATCAAAGGGTGAGGTTTGGGTTAGCCGTCCTACAGTAGAAATTTCTAAATTTTACTTGGAGATGTAGTTCAGGTATCAAAAACGTCATGAACTCGAAAATTTCAAAAACTATAGATTGAATAAATCTATTAACACTTTAAAATCTTTGAGATAATCAATCTAAATTAGTGTTTGAAAAATAGAACTGCCTTGGAAAGAGCGGGTTCCAAGTAGTGAAGAAAAATTCGAATTGGAATACTTAATTGGACATGGGGCTGGAAGCGGTTCAACCGACGTAATCGGTACACCGACTAGTTCAACAGGCCTAACGAGGCATGTTTGGGGCGATAACAAAAGTGTTAAAAAAAAGAAGAAAAAAAACAAAAAAATGTAATAAAATATGAAAAATATTTTAAAGCATGATTAAACAAAACACATCTAAATGAAGTTGAAAATTAATAGAAAAAATAGATTTTAAAGAATCGATTTATGCTTAGGGGTATTTTTAATTTTTTAAAAGATGAAAAAATATAAAAATAAGTATTAATGGCCAAAACAATTTTCAATCATTGCCAAAACGATAAAAAATATTAAAAAATACATTATAAATAAAATCCCTTAATTTTTTGAAATTTTATATAATTTTTATTTATTTATATTTAGTATACCCGACTGGTTCACCAAAACCGGCCGAAACTGAACCGGCCACTAGTCAATTCTAATCTGATCGAGCGATTAGAATTTGAACCATCCGATTTTTCCTATGCTATTTATGAGTAGCTAGTAAACTGGCCGATTCAACTAGCCTAACTGAGAAAGTATCAAGTGGTAAAAAAAAAATGTCAAAAAATAAAACCAACTACAAAAAATTCTAAAAAAAAGATATGAAAAGCATATTTAAACAAAGAACATCCAAATGAAGTTAAAAATTAGTGAAAAAAATAGATTTTATAGTAGCGATTTGTACCTAGTTGTATTTTTGAATTTTTTTTTAAAAAATGGAAAAATGTAAAAATAAGTATTCATGTCTAAAACACTTCCCAATTTTTGCTAAAATGATAAAAATATTAAAAAAATATTCAAAAATACATTATAAATAAATCTCTTATTTTATGGGATTATATATATTTTATTATTTTTTTAAAAATACCCAGTCGGATCACCAAAATTAGTCAAAACCGAATTGACCAATGCCTGTTCTAATCTAACCTGTTGATATTGCAAACATTGGTCGAATTAACTTGTTAGCAGATACATTTTTAAGATTTGAAAAAAATAAAATAAAAATTTCTTTCATATCCCCACATCTTGATATTGAGATGATGGATTAGAGGATACTCCAACATGCTAACCTTATTTTCTACCTTGCTTCAGCTTGGGTGTGTGACAAAGTTCGAAAAAAATTATTTTATACTTGAGCTAGGTTAATGAAATAAATGACCAATCTTGTAACAAAAGTATATGATCTCATTATATACTTTCCGTATACTAATTTCTCTCTATAAATGGTGTCATTATAAGCTTTCTCTATACGAATTTGTCTCTTTAAATGGCTAATTTAGTCACTAGGTCACTAAGATTGGATTCCTCTGTCTTTCCATCCAAAATGAAGGGTAGTTTTGTCATAGGAGTTTAAACGACAGCATCTTCATCATTCGGTTGTTGTTGTTTTTCGTTTTTTTATTTTTTTTCGTTAAATTCATCTTCATGGGCCAAACCTCCCAGAACTTCAGCTTTTGCCGCAGGGCGTAAAAGTCACAGAGAGCTCAGAAATCACGCCAAAAGAAATCGATCTTCGTAAACTGCTGCAGTTACCTACCTCATACGCAAGTAGATGAGTTGTTTGTGTAAATTTGTTGTTTCAGATAGTCTCTTGTGCTTGATTTCACAGTAAAGACTTATTCTTGGAGCTAACTGTTTTGACGATTTTCTTTATTGTGTTTCCTCACTTATCTGCTTTAATGGAGGATCAGAAAATCAGAGTGATTGTTTCTGTTTCTTTTTGGGGATGGCTTCTTTCCTGATTTCAATTCTTTTTTTTTTCAGTTTCTTTTTGTAAAATGAACCGCTTTTTCATTCGATTGATTTTTTTTTACTCTCTTTCTCTTTCTCTCTCCCTCAAACAAACTGATCTTTGCAGATTTCTTCAATGTTAAAGAAAGCGATAAAAATTCAAGCTTCTTTTTGGACGTGATTTTGTCTCCGATTGTTCTTTTCCCCTGACGCTTGAGCTTCTTTTATGAGGTGATGCCTTCCGATCAGTTCTCCAAGTTCTGATTTTCCCTTTCTATGTTTTCCTAGGGTAATAGAGGAACCAGTGGCCATTTTCTCTCTCTAGCACCACTTCCCTTTTCATCCAGTACTGGTTCTTCGTCTTCTTGTAGCTGTCGACTCCAAAAAACCAGAATCTCTCTCTCTCTCTCTCTCTGAAACTGACCTTTGCAGGCTTCTTCAAAGTTAACTGTAACAGAAAGAGATGAAAATTCGAGCTTCTTTTTGGATGTGATTTGGTCTCCGATCGTTCTTTTTCCCTGACACTAGAGCTTCTTTTACGAGGTAATGGCTTCCGATTACTTCTACAGGTTCTGATTTTCTCGTTCCTTAGGTAATAGAAGAACCAGTGGCCATTTTCTCTCTCTAGCACCACTTCCCTTTTCATCAACATCATCTTCATCGTCCTATTGCTGTCGGCTCCAAAAAACCAGAACCTCTCTCTATCAATGTTCCCTTTCTCTTTCTTTGTAAGATTTAACAGGATCATTACCAATTTCTCAATGTTCAATTTATCTTTCTTTGCGGTATTAACCGGATCATTACAAATTTCGGGCCTTCCTGGTTTCTTTTACCAGATTTCAAAAGCAAAAAAAATGGAGGCTTTTCAACGTTCTTTGTTTCTGTAATTTTGCCCCATTGTGTGTACGGAACCTATTTTCGCCATTTTTATCGTCTTCTTTCTGGAATCACTTCATCCTTAATCCTTTAATCGATGCCTTTCTTCAATGAAAATTCTCGATCAGTTAAATTCTCGTCTTTTTTTAATTCTTTCTTTGTGAAGGAATGATGAATTTCAGTCTATAATTGAAGGTAGGTTTTGTTCTTATTTTCCAACACACAGTCAGTAATTCTTCCATTAACATTATTTTCTGCTCCTTTGTTTAACTGAACGGATTTCTCTTTGTGTTTCCTTCTCAAGTATTGGATTCTGATTTTTTTACACTCTCTCTCTCCCTCTCTCTCTCTATGTTTGCCCGTGCCGTTTTTCAGCCGTTGATACAAGAGATGGTGGAATACTGTTACTCGGACAAGCAGGAGCTGCTTCCGGCCTCCTCTCTTGATCGCCGTTGCCTCCCACCCAGAAATCTTAGAAGCTTCAACTTCGGTATTTTAATTTAATCTCAACGCTAACCTCCTTCTCCTATCTAATTTCACAGCTTCATTAATGACCAAACCTACTTAATGCTTATTAATTTCTACATTAAATAAAAGCACCAATTAATTTCTTCTTATTCTGACTTCTCTCTTACTTTCTAATTTTAATTAACAGAACTAATGATCTGTTCATCTGGTATTAGGGAATCAAAAAGCAAAACTAATTGTTCTTAGTTTTGCCCACAATTAGATAAGACTATAGGAGCACTTTGGTGTTTGATTATGCTAGACGGAATTTTGATGGACCGGATTCCCTGAAAACCTAGACATCCACATCTGGCCATTCATTTAAACTTCCCGCCCAACCTAAAATAAGAAAAAAGGACTGAAAACTTCCAATATTTTCCCCCCAGTAACCCTTCACTTAGAAAAACTCATTTATGTTTGGAGGTTCTTCGTTCATTTCACTAAATAATCTGGGGGCATTTCTGTAAAATTGATTGGATGAGGGATGGCGGTTTAGTCAATTACTTCGAGCGTCTTTCTGCCTAATCCACTTCACCAACGAGGGAGGGGTATTTTAGCGAAGTATAGAACTAACGGAAGGCCATTTTTGTCACGTATCTTAGAGCATTAAATGCTGAGCCATGCCTGTGCAGGAGGAAATCCTAGCCGATCGCCGGCAACAGAGAATCCGGTCGCCATCGAGCCATCTCCGGCAAAAGCCGGTTTATATCAGAGATCGGCGGATGAAAAGCCGGTAAGAATGTCGGCCTCAACCCCTCCTATCCTATTTTCGGAGATGCACTTTCTCAAATATTATTACCAGTCGTTTTCCATGGGCAAATATCCGACGTTTACCCTGTGATTTTGAGGTATTTTTATTGAGTTGTGGCATGAGGGAAGTTAATGGGTAATCATTATCCCTCAGATTTGCCGAAAAGTAACCGTGAAAGCACAAAGAGAGAGAGAAGATTTTGAGGAATTTTTTTTGGTTAAACATGGATTGCAGGAGGGGAGAGAGAGAGGAGAGATAAGATTTTGAGGAATTTTTTTTTCGTTAAAAATGGATTGCAGGAGGGATGTAATCGTGAACTAGTGGAGGGAGAGAAGCCTGGTCCGATGACTCATCTGTCAACTGAATATTCCAACTGTGAGTGCAGTACGTAATTTTTTATTTCTGTTTTATTATATTTGTCGTGGGAGAAAGTTTATTATTATTATTATTATTTTTTTTTTGTTCTGGAGTATGGAGTGTAAAGTGTGAGGTATGCACAGGGAAGATAACGCTGAATTGCTTCTACGAGATCGACCACATGAGACTGCCCCTTAAATCCCCCATTCACCTCAAGATCATTCGTGTTGTGCGGGTATGGAGACAAACAAACCCTATTACCGAATATTTTTATTCTTCATTTTTTAATTACTGTTACAAATCATATTGATGTTTATCAGATAATCCAAATTCGGTGTACCCCACCTAAACAATCTAGTTAATCATTCTAAAATATTCGGTTTACAAAGCTTTTTAATCCAAACCAATATTGTGCATCTCTCTCTCTCTCCAGACTGAAATCCATACATCCTTCTTCCTCCCCACACCCCTCTCTCTCTCTATTCAAAGTTTCAAACAGTATTCACATCGTCTCTCTCCAAAATCCTTACTTCCGTTGTCTCTCCCCCATGCGTCTGAAACCTTGAATATCAAAGAGCCAGAAACCGGCGATAATGAATCTGCGTGGACAGCCCAGACATTTCCATTTTGTAAGTCCCCTCTTAGGCTCAATCTTGACCGTTCATCGTCCCGACAAAAAAAAAAAAAAGTCACATGATATCTCGCAATGCAGCTTAAACAATTAGTCATTTTGAGAGGTAATTAAAACCCAAATCTAACTGTTTAATTACACAAATAATCCGAATGAAAAGAAATAATTATGGTTAAACAGGTCCAATAATTATTTCTCGTGCAGGTAACCGAGAAGACCGCACACAACGTGGCCGTGAAGTTTCCGAGCGCTCTCTCCCTCCGAAAACACTTCTCGGACCAAAATGTCCTGCGCGCTAAAAGACTTAAACACCCAGACCTCGACGAGCAGTTCGTCATGGGCATCACATACGCCGGAAGAGTTCTCCGGCGACCCGTTCCTGATGTTGAACTTTCCAACTCCGGTCACTTCCGCAGCTTCTGGGTCCTCCAAAAACCGCCAGAAAATCCCTTTCAGAGCTCTCTGAATGCAGATAAACCTGATCTCTGGTCACCTGAACAAGTTCGAGGCCGCGGAAAACCCCATTACAAGTCAAACATTCAAAATGCTGGAAAACTCAATAACCAGACATCGGAGAAAAGTCAGGTCGCCGGAATCTGGCCACCAGGAAATGCGCAAGTCTCTGAAAATCCCCAATCCCTGTCCCCCAATGACTGTCAATTTGCAGGAAAACCCATTTCCCCTATGTTGGAAACATGTCAAGTTACTGGAAAAGCTAACTCCGAAGCGCCAGAAAACTTCGAAATTGCAGGAAATCCCAATTCTCATTCGCCGGAAAAATGTCATGTTGCTGGGAAATCAGACTCCAAATTGCTTGAAGGAAGCCAAGTCACTGGAAAAGCTGATTCGCAAATGCCAGAAAAAGACCAGGACTTGAGAAAACCCGATACAGAATCCCTGGAGAAATGTTTAGAAACTCCAAAAGAAAATTTGCAGCAGCCTGAAAATTTATTTTCCGGCAGGTTAATTGTGTGGGGGACCCGTAAGAAGGCAAGGTTTTTGGGTAAACATAGAGAGAAGCTTCCAGCCTTGATATCGTTGGAGAGGGAGAGGAGGGGAAGCAAGAGGATTTACAAGGACTCCACAGAGGAATCGAGTAGAGTGATAAAAGCGGCGAGGAGAGAGAAAGGAGGCCGCAGGATGGTGAAGGAGATGCAAGGTCGATGGTCTTCGGAAAGGTAAGTGTTGAATGAAATTTCATAGAAACTTAGGACTCTCTCTCTCTCTCTCATATAAACTTGAGCTCGAAGTCTCGAACTCGAAAAACGCAGATACCGAGTTGCGCAGCAGAAGCTGATAGACATAATGAGGGCCAAAGGAGCGGTGCTAGGCAAGCCCATCCTCAGGCCGGTGCTCCGAGAGGAGGCGAGAAAGCACATAGGAGACACGGGCCTCCTGGACCACCTCCTCAAGCACATGACCGACGTCGAGGTCCCGGGGGGAGAGCGGTTCAGGCGCAGGCACAACGCGGAGGGCGCCATGGAGTACTGGCTGGAGGGGGCTTCGCTGATGCAACTCAGGAGAGAAGCGGGGGTGCCGGACCTCTACTGGGAGCCGCCGCTCGGATGGAAGCCCGCCGAGGAAGGCGGGAGACGGTGCGAGCATTGCAGGGGTGGTTGTGGTAAGGAGAGGGATGATGAGGTGGTACAGCGGCTCGTGGAAGACGTGGCTCGAGTCAAGGGGTAAGAGCCTTCTCAATCTTATTCCCTCAAGCATGCATGCACGGATGAAGCTGACCAGGACGACCTTGCGTCCCAATCAAAATGCCCCACGAAATGATTGAAATAACAGGAACGATCCCGGAGCATTTTACACCATGGCGGGAAAAGTGACATGGCTGGCAATTAAAACGGAATATTCTTGTAACGGTTTATGGGTCCCACTTGTTTTCCTTTCCCTCCACTTTTGAAGTGACGAAACAACCCCTCGTGTTTTCTAAAATCACTATCATGCCCTTTTTCTTCGTTCATCTTAACGGACCGCCTGTATGAGCGTTTAAAGACTTAAACTCTCGGTCAATCTGGACCGTTCTTACGGGTTGTGACTTATATGCAGGGTTTTTGAAGCTTTGGTTCCTCCGGCTACGGCCTCCGTCGATATCAAAGAGGAGGGCAGGAAAGCCGCCACGTGTCCTCCCTATGATTCTCATCTTGCAAAATACATTCAGGTATATAATATACATTCCGTTTTTCATTTTATTTATTTTTGAACTCTTCAATTGTGCCCACACTTGGGGCTTACACGAAAAAGTGTTTCCAAAATTTCTCCAGAATTTTTGTTTAAGCGCTCGTTTCTCACCAATCGAACGAAATCCCAAGAATTTTAGACTCGAATCTTTCGCTAATTTTTTACGAAAATTTTGGAACTGTCAAATTTCTATATTTTTTATCCTTTTTTTGTAACTGACAATTTGTAGGGCTTTTCATTTTCTATATTTTTATTATTTATATTAATTATGTTAATGTGAATAGTTTCAGGAGGGCTTCAATGGGCTCATGATAAAAAAGAGTCATCTAGAGGCACAGGTCGACCAAATCTCCAACTCATTGGAGAAATTTAAGGTAATTACCTAACCTGCCCTCCTCAAAAAGCGCTACATTCCTCTACTAAACGGCTTACGCTTACAGAAAGAGGTAGAGTCCCACTACGAGAGTATCGGTGCGGCAAAGTCGACTCAGAGGCCAAGCCAAGAGGGTGCTGGCTCAGAGATGTCTAGTGTGGCTCAAGATGCCGAAATTGTCGTCAAGTCGCCGAAGCCGATGAAGCTGCAAAGTGGATTCAGAGTGTGTAGGCCTCTTGGGACGTTTCTGTGGCCTGGCATGGGCGCCAGGGTTGCGATGCAGGAGCCGGAGGCAATGCCAGAGACGAGCCCCCCAATGGAGCAAGACAGCCACCCTTCTCTGCCCATAAAGCCCGTTGTTAGGAACCCTCGGCTATCTGAATCGGGCTCAACTCTGTTCACTGATCAACCAGCAAAGGTGGTTGGTTCACTACTCAATCTCTTTTCACATATGTCCCAAGTTTCTCTCTCTACAGGTGAATATTGGAAATAATTTCTTTTCACGCCTGTGTTGACAGATTGCAGAGTGCAGCACGCATGGAGAAACAGGGGAGAGCAGCAGCTTTCCAACTGAGGGAACCTCCCAGCAGTGGCTCGCCCTGGCCACCCCCTCCCCCTCCCCTCTCGTTGTCTGACCCCCCTCTCTCTCTCTAGGAAATCTCTTCCTCGCATCATTATTCTTATCAAGGAGTTCCCCTCTCTCTCTCTCTAGATCTCCATTCTCTTTCTCTCTCTTACACACACGAATGGCAACTTGCATGAACTCTTGAACGGCCTGGATTGCATCATGCATTTGTCAAGCCTCAACACCACTCTGAAAAGTTTTTCCCTTTCTAACCTCAGCGATTGGATTTTGAGATTTTTCAATGGCTGTGGATTACGAACAAACATGGCAAGTATTAACTTGTAAACCTTCATTTTCGCTTTGGTGAGGTGGATTCCAATGTGAAGGGATCCATCCACAAGAGGTAGAGAGAGAGAGACTTGTATTGGTTTAGCACCATGTATAGCCAAAATATTATATGCAACGTACTCGACCTTATCCAACGAATAAATAAATAAATGGACATCAAAAATTACGGAGACTTTACATGTCCTTAGATTAACATCTTCTGATTGCATTGAAACCATTCAATTCTTGAACCGTTCGAAATATTTTAAAATTAGAAGTTGAGATATATTTTTTCCCTAAATGCTCATTGGTGGTCTAAAGTGCCATGTAGGGGTGGCAAGAGATCGAGACCCGACCTGAGACCCATCGAGTATACTTGACACGGGTCCATATATGGGCTCGACGGGTGGGGTCTGGGTCCAAACCAGGACCCGAATATTATTTGGCTCTGGGTCCAGGTCAGATTGGACTCGACCCATACCCATAAACTGTTGCAGATAAAATACTTCAAGTCTTATTCGTTTCGGTGTATTAAGGATCGTATACAATAAGAACTCGTAGTCATCTTTAGTTATTAAACGACAAATCAGACGACTTGAAAGCTAATGATTGGTGATTGTGATCTTGTTGCCAATAATATGGGTATATGATAGTAAAAAATATATAAAATAAAAGAGAAAAATGGATCCAACCAGTCCCAAGACCTGACTGATTGGGTTCGGGTCCAAAACCTGGACCCAAATACTATTCAGGTTTGGGTCCAGCCGGACCCGACCCGTATCCAACCTGTTGCCACCCTTAGAGCCATGGGTCAGTGGGTTGATATCCCAACCACTGATCCTGATCAGGATTGGCTGAATAGGTGATTTAGATCATCTATATTGGCAAACTGAAATAAAATAAAATAACCCAAAAATAGAGGCTATAGGTAAAGGGTCTGGTTTATATAAGGCTGAGGCCCTAAAGAATCAAAATAAGGCACACCTTCAAATAGTATAAAAAAGATGTTATTTGACTACCAAAAATCTTTATGATGACTTGAAAATTTATTTTTATCTCTAATTATAAAATTTAGAAGCTTACAAAATAGTGTAGATCAAACATATCTATAAATACTTGAAAAGTTTACAAATTAATGGCCTAGATAATGCATTACAAGATGTACTATTTTCAAGGCTTTACGTCCATATATCTCAATATCGAGATGATTGGATTTAAGGGTTTTCAACATCAAAATAACTTCTTCTATTAAATTTTTGAGGTGCATTTAGAACCTCAACCTTATATAAATTTTTTCTTAGATTTAATGCTGAAGTTATTATAAAAAAGGCTCAACGGATGGCCGTCCTCGTAAGAACCACGATGAGTGGCTGTTCGGAGGGATCTTTTGGTATGGGACCTTACGATAACCATGTTTTAGAACTCGGTTTTTTTCACATAATATGTATTATGTTTTGGTGGGGGAATGCATGACACCAACACCCATCCCCACCCCCAACCTCAAAAAAATTGTCATATTCCTAAGTAAACCCTTGGTCCATCCCTTCAAATTAAAAGAAAAGGCTATTTGTAACATTTATTTATTTTTAGTAATCCATCGATAAATGAAATTTAGGAGGTCTCTTTTAATTTTCTTATGAGTTTCCTAATAGGGTCATTATAAAATAAAAAGATACTTATTGTAATTTAAACAGTGAAAAAGGTGTGAATGGGGTTTAACTCCCTTTTCTTTTAATCGGAAGTGGTCGGCTTTTTGTAAACCATAAAGCTTATTTAGGATTATAATTCTAGAAGGGGTATTTCAATAGAATCACTTATAACTTTTTTCCTCTAAAGCGGTTTTCCATTTTGATCGATATATTTCAAGGGGCTGTCTACAAAGAGACTATTTATCTTTTGCACGTGGATGTCACAATCATTTTGGTCCTTTAAATTTCAAAATGGGTGGTTGTAAGAGTGTCATTGAATTGACACAAAACTTCAAAAAAAAAAAAAAATATCGGACTTTACGACTCATCCCAAACTATCCAATTTGACATCTAACGAGTGAAAATAATTATGACTTTCATGTACAAAAGATAAATGGTCTCTTTATAAACAAATCCACATTTTGGACCGGTCGAATGTGCATCCCCAAAATTTCAAATGGCAAAAATCTTTCTATGGAGGTCTTACATGATCCTAAGTTCGATAATTTGTCAAAGCCGGTTAGGGATCATTGTGCGAATAACATGCGCACTTCATCAGTAACCACTACCTCCATGGCTCCTGGCTCTTTTAAAGCAGGTGTCACTCAAGGAAACTTCGCCCCCCTCCCTGCTTGTGCAACAAAAGTAACGAGCACACCATCAAAAAGAGTTATTCAGACTCGGTGGTATGACCGGTTGAACTACAGATTGGCCCCTTTAGTTCAAAGTTAAAACTATATTTTGCCAAAAATCAGTTAAAATAAATGTTTGAGCAATTTTAGCTCGGTTCTAGCTGGTTCAACCAACATGATAAAAATATATCATGTTTTTAATATTTTTGTTTTTATTTTTATCTCTATTTTTTTAATTTTTTAAATTTGATCCAATTAGTTTGACAAATAAGTGGACCTGTTTTGACTTGACGAAATCCCTCACTGATTTGGTGGCTGGTCTGATCTTGATAACACCTCTCTCTCTCTCTCTCTCTCCGATATAGTACGCATGATAAAATGAGTATTTTCTTCGTGTAAAGAGTGGAGAAATATAACGGTTTTTTGGACACATGCTACTAATCATGGGCACGTATACCATACTCCCAATGGAGCATAGTTTACATTGCTCCCTTAGTCAAAGACATACTTCAAAGGATTATCTTTTAATTAGAAGTTTTGGGAAATACCTAAAAATCACCAGATGATTAGTTTTAAAAGAAAAGAAAATGAAATTTGAGTTCTCGAACACGATAATTAGTTTTAAAAGAAAAGAAAATGAAATTTGAGTTCTCGAACACGTAGATCTCACCATCTAAAAATTGGATGGTCTCTATTCAAACTTGAAACATTATTTTTTTTCCAATGCAGATGAAATTAGGAAAATTTTTTTTTATTTGAAGTTCTAAAATTAATCCTAGATGGTGTTTTACCCAAGGGATTAAATGGACAGTATACTTTTGAGGGAGTATAATATCTATCGGCAATATTCTTTCCAAATAAATAGCATTGCTTACCTTCAATTTTGAATAGCATTGGTTACCTTCAATTTTGAAGAATTTATTTTTGTTTTTTTATAAACAAAGATAAAACCCTATTTCCGACATTGTTTATGTCTTTTAGGAATAAAGAGGCCCTTTTTGTTGTAGTCTTGGGGCGTTTTGGCAGCATTTTTTATGTAAACAAGAATGCAAAACAATAGGGTCCTTAGGTTTGAATAGCAACAATGAGACCTTTATCTTTTCGAAACTTTTAGGGGCTTTTGGCGACTAGAAATCTAAGTTCTAAAAGTCAAAATTTCATGGGCACTGTACAAGCGCTAAGTTTGGCAATAGGGATAATTTAGAAGTTTGGACTTCCCCCACCCCCCAAAAGTGGAAGTGGAAACTTTTCATTTTTTAGTAAGTTCGCGCGCTTGAATAGTGACCAAATTCCCCAAACTCCAATAACTAATAATGTTAATTTTCTTCATCAAAATCAAATTGAGAGGAAAATTTGAAGGTGTGTACGCCTTCTTCAGGCACATACACACCCAAAAGTTTCAGGATTATTTAGGTTATTTCATTTTAAAATTTTTTAGTAGTGCATGAGGGTAAAAAGTATAGATGACCAATATTTTATTTTAATTTGATGCATAAAAAATCAAAATATTTAGATATGCTCTCAACCATCCGAACATGATCAAACAAATGAGATCAATAGCATTTACTTTTGTAATAATCCTAAAATTTCAAAAAAGAAAAGAAAAGAAACTTTTAATAAGTGATGGTCCATATGACCGTGATGGTCCATATGAGCGTGATGGTCTTTAAGGACCATCACTACTTTCAAAAGCTTTTACCTTCAATTGGTTTAAGCTTTGTTGCATTGCCACGTCCTTTAATGGACGTAGTTTTCATGTGTTAAAGGCGGACGTTTACGCTACACCTCATACATGAGGTGGAGGCGTTTTAAAAGATTTAAATAGGGTGAAGGGTAAGGCGTCGTCTTACAGAACTCCACTCTCGCTCTCCCTCTTATAAACACAGTGAGCTCATCTCTTTAACCGAATTTTTATCGGACGCTCCCTCTCAAATATTTTAGGTAAGTGACTTCATTATCTTGAAAAATAATCTATTCTTTTTAAAAATGAAATGAAATAATTACTTCCGCTTATTATCATGAATTTTAGGTGCGATAAATTTTATGCGCAAGCGACCTCATTATTTTGAAAAAATAAACTTTTAGTAAAATTGTGAAATTTATTTACTGTTAGGAATTTTAGATATTGTAAATCATTAGAAAAAAGAAGGAGAAAGAAAGTGTTCTCCCTTCTATCCCTTATATACGTACGAGTTTGGAGGACAATAGGAAAGCACGCTTCGATGTTTCTCTTGAAGTAGTCCTTCTCCAACCATCCATTTTTAGCAGCCTAGTAATGAGGTCTTCCTTCGCTTATATAATTTTTACTTCTGCCATGTAATAGGCAATTTCAAGGGGCTTGACCATCCGACAAGGGTTAGTTCCTCCAAAGAAAATAAAAAGGCGAGAGTAGTAACCGTACAAAGTAAAGCTTAGGGAGTCTAAACCTTGAATCTCTTCGACCATTTTGAAGGTCCAGACCTATATATATAGTTCCGATGAATCAAATCTGATGAGCAACTGTAAGTGACCTCGTTGTCTCAAAAAATAATCCTTTTAATAAAATTGTGATATTTTATCTATGTTAGAATTTTAAATGCTGTAAATTCTTAGAAATAAATTTATTTTTCTTGTATATTGTTAGAGAATTTTAGATACTGTAAATTCTTAGAAATAAATTTATTGTGGTATTCATCGATGATATTTTAATTTATTCCAAGAATCAGAAGGAACATGAACAACATGTAAGAATGGTATTGTAAATATTAAAAGAAAAGAAATTGTATGCCAAATTCCACTACGTTGCCCGCCTGGGTGCATCACCACAGGCACGGTTGGAGGCAGGGGACCTCGACGGCCGGTGGGATGCCCGAGCGTGGCTCACCTATGCAGCATGGTCGGT